CAGTTAGGTCATGTATGTAGAGGGCCTAGCTGGAACATAGTTATGAACTCAGTCTTTGATAATAGGAACCTGAAATGTTTACAATTATAATTAAGTTATAATTTATAATTAAGTTTTTCTAGTTTTCTCTACATTCCTATTTAATTAAGAACAGGCTGAAAGAAAACATCAATTTTCAAGAATATAAAATATTATTAATAAATGTAAAATTATGACCCTATGAGACAGAACTACAACAGTGAGCTTGAGGTAAGACAGAATATCATGATCAGAAACCAGGAAGAGTTTCTTGGCAAGAAGGGTCACTGAACCCCAAAGCCTTGAAATCCATTACCAGAAGTTGTAGAAGGTTCCACAGAGTTTCACCTTATTGAGATAGTTTATTAGAGCTCCTGAGTACAACAATAAACCAAATGATTTTTTCAGTTCTGGGATTGTCATGATTCTGTACTACAAAGATCTTCTGAATATTAATTTCTTTGCTAAGGGGTACGTTCAGTAAGTTTGGGATATGCTTTACCTTTTTGGAAAAAGATCATTCACTATTTAAGATTGCAAATCACATATTCCCAATCAAAGTACAGTAATGAATGTGTGTATAAGTTATAACCTTCAGCTTAGTTGTTGTATCTGGGATACAATGCACAATGGAAAGAACACAGAACATCAGCAAGAACTAAAAAAACAAAAATTATCAACCAAAGCCAAACTGAAACTGGCAATAACATTATAACTACTTTCTGGTTTATGGATCATAAAACAAACCTCTTCTATAATTTAGGAATTAACATTGTAAGTGGAATACTTTGATTCAAATATAGAAAAGTCTAAGAAATATTCACATTCCTTTCCCATGAACCAACCTCAAAATGTTACCTGAGCACTGTCTGTATCACGGATTCCTAATACGTAAGGATTTTCTTCACATATCAACTTTGGTTTAGCTCCAGCACACAAACAGAGTTTCTTATACACATGCTGACTGCCATCTCCTGTTAAAATGCACTGTAAAAACACAGAGCAAGGAAGGGGAGAGGAGAAACATATTCATCTATGGGTACAATTTCATTTTAAATCAAAAATTTGGGGCGCCTTGGTGGCTCAGTCAGTGTCTGCCTTTGGCTCAGGTCATGATCCCAGGGTCCCTGGATCGAGCCCCGCATCGGGCTCCCTGCTCAATGGGGAGTCTGCTTCTCCCTCTCCCTCTGCTCCTCCCCTGCTCGTGCTCGCTCACTCTCTCTCTCAAATAAAGAAAATATTTTAAAAAAATTAAAAATTCAGTAAGAGGAAATCAAAAAAATACATTAAGGTTGCCTCTTGGTGGCACTCAATACTTTGTTACAGCAACTGCAAATCAAAGTAAACATGAGAATGCATTCAGTCCAGTCATTCACCATCATTTTAGGGCCATGAACCATTCTGGGAATCTGTGAAAACTAGTCTTTCTCCCCTGGGAAAAGAAGGTACAGTCACACCAGATTTTGCATAAAACTTAAGGAATAGCATGATATTCGGGGAGGTATGCTGACCTCAAGTTAAAAACTAAACATTCAGAAATTTTAAAATTGAGCATTCTGATATTATACCTGGGGCAGGCCTTAATGAATATTTCTGATCTCAGTGGAAGTTACTGTAGGAAGATCTAGTAATTCTAATGGTATCAGACCTTAATAGGTGGTATGGGTACAGAGGGGGTACAGTGTGGTAGGAGAGGGTACATCATCTAAAAACATTAGAAGTGCTAAAAACACAGTATTTATATGCTTAAGTACAAATAACAATCACTTCACCAGCAAACATGCTCTTTGGGGATATTTTCATATATATTTCATGTATTTTCACATGAAAAATGTGTTAACCTTAAATCCTAGCATGTACTGGCTTTAAAGTGATTTAAATTAATTTTTAATGACATCATTGAGTCTAAAACTACATATTTGAGATCCACTGTTTTTGTTCCTTAATATCGAATGAAAACCTACATCTAAGTAGTAGCCTTTAGAAGGTACATATCTATAAGTACATATGACTGAGAGACGCCAGACTTTGTCAGAGTGGTTTAGAGCTTAACACTGTGCCATGTGTTTGATTTATAAAACATGGCAAATCATAACTGTAGCACTTGATACCCACTGAGACATTTGTTACCCGTTGTAACTCTTCAGCGGCTTAACAAAAACATAAAGCCAATAATTCCACACAGTATAATGCATACAGGAATTCTACACAAGTCTTCCTGCAGATAATATGTTAGAATTTTATCTGGCAAACAGTAGCTATAGACCCTGACCAAATCTAAAAATAATTTGCATTTAGCTACTGTAAAAACACACACAAGAACTCTTTTCATTGGCTACTGTTAAATTTTTGGAAGTAGACATGAAGATAAAACACATAATCTCTAATTCATTACAGAATATAAAGGACAGATAATGCAGACATGATCTCATTTAGGACACTTCAACATGGCAATGGGCGGCACTCTGATTTATTCAAATGCCCGAATATAAATTCCCTCACAATTAGTACACATTTGAGCACACTTCTATTTGCAAATTAACTGACATGGATGTTATATAGGATATGTACTACTATAAATACTAGAAATTTATCCTGGTTTTAGGATTCAGATTTTTTTCTCATAAAATTCAGGACTTATTTTTTCCTGTCAAATTATTTGTGTTCTGAATGTATTATAAGTGTGTTTTCTCCCTAAGGGAGAACTCACAAATGAGAGCAGCTCTAGGGAAACAACGGCAAACTCCACTTCCCATCTTGCCTGAAGCTCATCTGAGGATATTGCTGATCATCTGGCAACACCCTTTTCTGAGCCCGCCTTATTCAGTCCCATGTCCAGTGGGTTACTGGGTCCTGCTGCGTTTACAGTAGAAATCTCACTCATATCTGGGCCGTTCTTTCCACTACACTGTCCCTGTCTTAGTTCAGGCCTTCTACCATTCTGGATGATTGCAACCACCTTCTGATTTGGTTGCTGGCCACCAGCCCCTCACTCCACCCCACTTCATCCTCAACACTGCTGTCAGATCTACCTTCCTAAAAGAGCATCCATGGTATCACCCTGCCTCCACCTAAAATCTCTTCATTTCTCCACTGATTACAAAATAAATTTCTTGGTATGATGTAAACAGCTCTTCACACTCTTATTTCTTTGGCCTCGTCTGCCAATCTTCTTTCCTTGTCCCCACTGCAGTCCCTCTGACAGTGTCACTCTTCCATGTGCCCCTTTCCTTTTCTATGGGCCTTTGAATAAGCCACCACCTTTTCCTACAATGCCCCTAATTAAGAACTCTTAATTCTTTAAGACTTGAACCCCATTCAAATATTACTCCCTCTGTGAAGTCCACATAAATCTCTAATATCAGAGCTTAGATAAGAGTTCAGTGACTGTGCTTTTCACGTCCCTGTAGTTATACGTGTGCAGGTGTATATTCGCTCCGACACTGGGCGCTCCCAGGGCAGGTTCACTGTAATATTCCTGTTGTCTCCCAGCACTTACCGTGGTGCCCAGAACACAGCAGACACTGTAAGTGTTAATGCTCATGTAAAATGTAAAACCTAAAACGCAAACTAATTATAGAATCATAAACTCACAACAAGTATAAATTTTCCCAGTAATAATATAAATCACTAAACTTTATATGCTAAGGACCTCAGTGGTGGTGGCGGTACAGACGGGGTCAAAAGAAAGCAGGCAAAAGCTCATCGAGATTGAACAGTGGGCTGACATTAAGAAAGAAATCCTCGGGCGCCCAGGTGGCTCAGTCGGTTAAGCATCTGCCTTCAGCTCAGGTCGTGATCCTGGAGTCCTGGGATTGAGTCCCACATCGGGCTCCCTGCTCCTCGGGGAGCTTGCTTCTCCCCCTCCCCACTCCTCCCCTCCCCACTCATGCTCTTTCTCTCTCTCGCTCGCTCTCTCTCAAATAAAATCTTAAAAAAAAAAAAGAAAGAAAGAAAGAAAGAAATCCTCTTACGTGTTCTTTACTCTTTAGTTGTTTTACCCCGGATTCTATAATCTTAATGTTGGGAAAGCGATTTTCTAACATGGTTTTCGGTTGCTCTTCAACATCAAACTCCTCCAATACTTTAGAAACCTGTATTAGATCAGAAAGGTAAAAATATATGTTTAAAAAATATTTCAAAAATTTTAAATAATAAAAATACTTTCATTTGTTTTTATACACTACTTACTTCATATTCATAAAACAAAGTCGGCCAATTGCACTATATACAGTGTAAAGAGGGCTAACTCCACATTTTAAGACTTGAACTCAAACATTAGTCCTACCTCTCGGGCAAGTCAGCCAGGTCACTGCGCCTTAGTCTCCTAGCCTGGAAAATGAGGGCTGACTCTACTCACTTCTGCATTCTTTTACCACAGCTTGTTGATTCCCTTATCCTTACGGTTTTCTCTGTCCACTTACTAGCCAACTTTATTGTGATCTAGCCTTTAGACTCTTTCCTGTTGTCTAAACCCAAGAGCATCCTCTTGGACTCACTTCTCTTCCTGTGCAGGCATGACTCCACTGTAGATCATTTCATGTTTTGCCCAAACTTTTACTTCCTTGCCTTCTTTTCTTTAACCATTAATTACCCTGAAAACCCCCCACCACAGACTGAACTGCTTGCTTTTTCCAGTCCTATACCCAGTCTGCTGTGGAAGGACCACACCTTGCAGACTGGCATTTGACCTCAGGTGCCCCCTAAATACTACTGGGAAATCCTACTACATGACCCTAGTGGTTCTCAAACTGTTTAGTCTCAAGACCCCTTTACACACTTACAGATGACTGAGGACCCCGAAGAACTTTTGTCCATGTGAGTTAAACCCAGTGATATCTGCTACATTAGATATGAAAACTGAGAAAAATGTAAAATATTTAATTTAATTAGAAGTATAATAAATCTGGGGCGCCGGGTGGCTCAGTCGGTTAAGCGTCTGCCTTCGGCTCAGGTCATGATCTCAGGTCCTGGGATCGAGCCCCACGTCAGACTCCCTGCTCAGTGGGGAGTCTGCTTCTCCCTCTCCCTCTGCCTGCCACTCTCCCTGCTTGTGCTCACTCTCTATGTGTCAAATAAATAAATAAAATCTTAAAAAAAAAAGAAGTATAATAAATCCAATACATGTTAAACAGATATAATATCCTTTTAATAAAAAATAACTTTTTTTTTCCAAAACAAAAGAAATTAAGTGAGAAGAATGGCACTGTTTCACAATTTTGCAAATATCTTTAATGTCTGGTCTTAATAGAAGATGTGCTTCTCCATTCAAACTATTACAATATGTCAATCTGGTTGACGTATATGCAGCCTTTTCAGAGAATGTATATTCTTCTTTGACGTTACACTAAAACTCAACAAGCGTGATTTCTTAAAGATTAGTTGCAATGGAGAATTTGAAACCATATCAAAGAATTTTTCATCCTCTGTTCCTGTGAAATCCACTGGTCTATCCTGCACTTTGAATGGATCTTGTAACATCACATTCGTCATCTGGACAACAGTGGTTCCCTAAGTTACGGAGATCTGCCCAATGTTAACACATTTTATATCACTACAATACCAAAAGATCACATTATTATCACCAACAATCTCATCAGAAACGTCTTTAAGTACCACGAGGCTCACAGTGAGGAAATGAGTTTCCCAAAGTTCTAATTCTGGCTGGAAAACTCTAATTTTGTCCTGTTGCCAACAAATACTATCACCTGTGTTCCTTGAAGTGACAGGCTCACTTCACTCATTTTCCAAATATGAATTACTATAGTGTGTCAGTTGTTCTTTCAAGTAAAGCTGGTGTCCGTAAAAGAGCAATTAGCTCCTCTTGCAACTCAGCAACAGCACAACTGCTTTTCCTTGAGACAACACTACTCCTGTATGTAGAACAAGTGCTTTATGCCTACAACCCATTTCATCATACAGAGTATTAAAAACACGTACACTTATGAGTCAGGACTTAATAAAACATTTTTTACTGGCTCTAATTTATTTAACTGAGTGCGTGCAGTGAAGAATACAATGACCACCAGCCCAGTTTAGCCACCATTGCTCTTATACCATCGGTGCTCAAGTGTCAATATAGTGACAACTTGTATTAAAGAATGTGGGTAGTATTCTTCACTGAAGTATGGGAAGAAAACAGTTACTTATTTAACTTTTTTGCATAGGCATTATAACATTCATAATTAGAGCACTATAGCATATGCATATAATTTATAAACATATAAATATACATATATTAGGATTTTAGCGAACACTCTTTAACAGGTGACATACCAGATCAAAACTGTTTAGAGATCGGGGTGCCTCGGCTGAGCTTCTGACTCTTGATCTAGTCTCAGGTCTTGATATCATGGTTGTAAGTTCAAGCCCCACTTTGGGTGTGGAACCTACTTAAAAAAAAGTCTGTTTAGAGATCACTCTTCTATGATACTATGACCCAAATGATCTTAGATTTCTAATGTAATGTTATAATGTGTGTAATATAAATTATGGAACTACAAAGTGTTCTCAGATGCTTATTACACATGTGAAACATTAATTATCTGCAAATGTGGCTGAGAAGCACTTTTCTGATTTTCAGACACACACATTTATACACATACATCTATTTATAATAATGATATACACATATATTTGTACCCATAGTTAGATTTGCATAGCATTTTTCCTCAAAAGAACTTGAAAATTTTCTAAAAAGTAATTCTGAGTGCGAGGAAAAGATGGGAAAAAAAAGACAAATTCAACATCATTTAGGTGCTTTTGATACTTAATTCTAAACTTTGAGCTTTGATCTTAAAATGACTATCAAAACAGTATTTGTCATTTTAAACACTTAAAAACTATAACTACACTAAATGCTAGTCAAGTTACTGAAATTTAAAAACATTAATACTAAGAAAGTTATACAAAAGTTCTTACCTGCTTGAAATTTATAACCGCTTTAATAACAGAAGCTGTTACCAGGAGAATATCTTCTGATGGAAACTGAATAGCCAACTTATTAAAAAAAAAAAAAGTTGGGAGAAAATACATGATAAATAACTTTAGGTACTTTAGGTATTAATATATATGCCATGGAGGGTGAGACAGGGATAATGCAATTTTAATAATGTTATTAACCTAGGAAACTATAAACTCACTTTTCCTCATCTAAAGGTCTCCATTATTCTGTGTCTTCTTATTTATGGGGTAGTGGTGAGTAATGTCCAACTGTGATACTGATAAAACAAGTAATACATTTACACTAAACACTAACAAAACCTCCTGAACAAGAAAAATGATACAAAGAGGTATTCCTTATTTACTTAAACTACATTATATACCAATTTAAAGTTGTCATGCAGAGAATGAGAAGAAAATATTTTCCTAAATAACAGTTAAACAAACTCCTATTTATTTTAAAATAATATTTTCACTTCCCTGCTGTAGGATTATATTAGAGCAAATCCTTACTAATAAATACTCAGAATCTTAGCCTGACTTTTCCCAAGTGTTCTGGCACTGCTATTCTGCCTCTTCCAAATGCCCAACCAGTATACACTCTGGGAAAACAAAACCATTTTAGTAGTAGCTTCAACAGAATTTAGAGGCCAAACTTGCCATTTTTTTCCATCATTTTTCCTGGTTACAACCTCTCTCTTTCTCACTTTAAACTTCTTGAAAGAATCTTCTTAAATCACACTCCGGTCCCTCATCTCCACCACATTCTATTTCTTTCCCTACAATACCATTAAAACTGACCATGTTCAACCAAAAAACTATTAGAATGAACAAATGAATTCAGTAAAATTGCAGAATACAAAATTTACATACAGAAACTGGTTGAGTTTCTATACACTAATAACGAGCCATTGGAAAGAGAACTTAAGAAAACAACCCCATTTACAATTGCATCAAAAATAATAAAATACTTGGGAATTTATCCAAAGATGTAAAGACCTGTAACTATAAGCCACTGATGAAAGAAACTGAAGAAGATATACATAAATGGAAAGATCTATCATGCTCATGGATTGGAAGACTTAATATTGTTAAAATGTCCATACTACCCAAAGCAATCTACAGATTCAATGCAATCCCCATCAAAATACTAATGGCATTTTTCCCAAAACCGGAACAAAGAATCCTAAAATTTGTATGAAGCCACAAAAAGACCCTGAATAGCCAAAGCAATCTTTAGAAAGAAGAACAAAGCTGGAGGTATTATGCTCCCTGATTTCAAATCAAACTACAAAGGTGCAATGATCAAAACGGTATGGTATTGGCATTAAAAAAAAAAAAAAGGACACACAGAGCAATGGAATGGAACAGAGAGCCCAGATATAAGCCCACATACAGATGGTCAATTAATCTATGACAAGGAGGCAGGAATACACAATGGGGAAAAGAAAGCCTCTTCGTAAATAATGTTAAGAAAAGTGGGGAGGGGTGAAAGATGGCGGAGGTGTAGGGGACCCTATTTCAGCTGGTCCCCAGAATTGAGCTGGATATCTACCAGACCACTGTGAGCACCCACGAAACCAGCCTGAGAAGTAAGAAGATCTGGATCTCTACAAACAGAATATCACAGGCAGTTGGTTTTGAGGTACGAAGCAGAGAGCCGTGATTCTGTGGGCAGATATCGGAGGATA